GACATAAATGTTATTGTTACTACCTATTTAATTCTATCATCATTAATAGTATTTTAAATAGTCATTTGTTTACATTTACTTATATATTTCCCAGTACCCTTCATTGATTCTTGTACTTCATAGCTTCTCCTTGGGATTATTTTGCATCCGACTAAAGCATATCCTTTAGTATTTCCTTTTTTCAGAGTCTGCTGCAGCATCTCTGTTTTTGTTCACAGATAGCTATGTGATTTGTTTTGCCATATAACTTACAAAGTATTTGCAGAAGTCAATGACATTGCTATAACAAAGTCACTTTTATTTCTTAATTTAGCCATTATTTATATGAACATGGTTTTTCAGTTCTTATAAAGTGAAGGACAAATAAAATCGATTGTAAAATCTATCTCAATATCTATGGATCCATAAATGAATAATTTTAAAGTGTCATATGCAACAGAAGCATGATTTTTACATTTAATACTTGTCAAAATGTGAAAAGATTAATTTGGATCAACTGTCCAATTATATAATGTTAGAAATGTTTTAGTATTTTGAGCCTTCAGTTACAAATCAGTTTCCAGTTACATACATATTTTCGTGACAGAAAAGTATAATAGTGTAAGTATAGCATTATAGAAATATATTACATTAGGATAAAATAATATAGTATGGGCTCCTACCATGATTAGAATATTCATCTGTATTTCCTCAACAGGCCTTTTCCCTTGATTAGGAAGTGTATAAATGTATAAGGATAGCTTTAACTTGGTACAAGAACAGGTAGTCTGGCTGGTAGTAATACAGAGGTCTTTACTCTAGCTGTCAAGCACTTTAGTGGATTTCCCCTGCCAGTCTGCATTTCCACTTCTGTGTTGGAGGTCTGGATTTGCCTCAGGTTCTGCTTTGGTTTTCTCTTAGCTCCACCACTCTAGGCAAGTAGAATTCACCTTCTTCAGAATACAGTTTTTGCATTTTAGCCTATGGCCAAACACCCCTTCTGCCTACGTCTTAGTACAAGTAAGGAGATCACTGACCTTCCCCCCACCTCCTTTTTTTTTTTTTTTTTTTTTTTTTTTTGAGAAGGAGTCTTGCTCTATTGCCCAGGCTGGAGTGCAGTGGCTCAGTCTTGGCTCACTACTACCTCCGCCTCCCAGGTTCAAGTGACTCTCCTGCTTCAGCCTCCCGAGTAGCTGAGATAACTGTTGCCTGCCACCATGCCTGGCTAATTTTTGTATTTTAGTAGACAAGGGGTTTTACCATGTTGGCTAGCCTGGTTTCGAACTTCTGACCTCAAGTTATCTGCCTGCCTTGGCCTACCAAAGTGCTGGGATTACAGACATGAGCCATTGCACCTGGCCTGGACTTCCCATTTTTATTTACTTATTGTTGTATATGTGATTATTTTAGTTCATCAGTATTATTCAGACTTACCACTGGAATGCTACATGTTCTTTATATTTGTTACTCAACCCAGAGTTCCTCTATCAGCTCTGGTATTCAAAATATTTTTAGTAGTTTTATTGAATTATAATTCACATACCATAAGATTACCCATTTAAAGTGTACAATTCAATGGTTCATAGACTTGTGCAGCATTTCCATCATTCAAAAACAAACCCTGTATCCATTAAGGAGTTAATTCCCATACCCATACCCAGCTATAGGCAACCACAAATCTTTCTTTGGATTTGACTATTTGGGATGTTTCACTGACTGTAGGATGTTTCATCCTATAATATGTGACCTTCTGTAACTGGCTTCTTTCATTTAGCATAATGTTTTCGGGGTTTATCCATGTGGTAGCATGTATCAGTATCTAATTCCTTTTTATTCCCTAATAATATGGATATACTACATTTTGTATATTGAGTTATCCATTAATAGAATTTGTGGCTATTATGAATAAATCTGTATACATCTGTGTACAAATTTTTGTATGGATGTTTATCTCTAGAGTATACATTCAGAAGTGGAATTCCTCAATCATATATCTGTATGCTTCATAGAGGAATGGCCAAACTATTTCTAATGTGGCTGTACCATTTTACATTTTCATCAGTGATATATGAGGATTCCATTCATTCCACATTTTTGCTAACATTTGTTATTGTCTGTATTTTTAACTATTCTTTCTCTATTGAATGGTTCTGGCACCTTTTTTGAAAATTATTTGCTTATAAGTATAGATGTTTATTTCTGAACTTACATTCTATTCCACTGATCTCTATCTATGTATGTCCATGTCAGTATCAGTCTGTAATTCTATAGCTTTACAGTAAGTTTTGAAATTGAGAAATACCAGTCTTCCCACTTTGTTCTTTTTTCAAGATTTTGACTATTCTGGATCTCTTTCATTTCCATATGAATTTTAGGAAAAATTTGTCAATTTTTGTAAAAATGAAGCGCAGATTTTTATAGGAATTGGGTTGATTTGATAGATCAGTTTGGGGAACATTGCCATGTTAACAGTGTTGCCATCTTCTCATCCATGAATATGGGATGTTTTTCCAGTTACATTCGTCTATAATTTCTTTGAAGTGTTTTTATAGTTTTCACAGTGTAAGTTTTACAGTTCTTTTGTTAAATTTATTCCTAAATATTACTTTTGATGCTATTGTAAATGGCATTGTGTTCTCACTCTGTCACCCAGGCTGGAGTGCAGTGGCTTGATCTCGGCTCACTGCAACCTTTGCCTCCTGGGTTCAAGCGATTTTTCTGCCTCAGCCTCCCAAGTAGCTGGGACTACAGGCGTGCACCACCACGCCAGGCTAATTTTTGTATTTTTAGTAGAGACGGGGTTCCACCATATTGGCCAGGCTGGTCTGAAACTCCTGACCTCATGATCTGCCTGCCTCAGCCACCCATAGTGCTGGGATTACAGGCATGAGCCACTGTGCCCGGCCTGGAATTGTGTTCTTAATTTTATTTTTGGGTTGTTTACTGCAAGTGTATAGAAATACATTTGATTTTTATATATTGATCTTGTACCCTACAATATTGCTGAACTCATTTATTAGTTCTAATAGTTTTTCAGTATATTCTTTGGGATTTTCTTTTTTTTCTTTTTTTTTTTTTTTTTTTTTTTTTTTTTGAGACGGAGTCTTGCTCTGCCGCCCAGGCTGCAGTGTAGTAGGGTGATCTCAGCTCACTGCAACCTCCGCTTCCTGGGTTTAAGTGATTCTCCCTCCTCAACCTCCCAAGTAGCTGGGATTACAAGCACGTGTCACCACGCCCACTAATTTTTGTATTTTTAGTAGAGATGGCGTTTCACCATGTTAGCCAGGATGGTCTCTGTCTCCTGATCTCATGACCACCTGCCTCGGCCTCCCAAAGTGCTGGGATTACAGGCTTGAGCCATGGCCCCCGGCCTTTTATTATTATTAATTTTGAGACAGAGTTTTTGCTCTTGTTGCTGCCCAGGCTGGAGTGTAGTGGTGTGATCTTGGCTCACTGCAACTTCTGCCACCCGGGTTCAAGCGATTCTCCTGCCTCATCCTCCCAAGTAGCTGAGGTTACAGGCACGTGCCACCAACTCTGGCTAATTTTTTTTTGTATTTTTTAGTAGAGATGGGGTTTCACCATGTTGGCCAGACTGGTCTCAAACTCCTGACCTCAGGTGATCCACCACCTTGGTCTCCCAAAGTACTGGGATTACAGGCATGAGCCACTATACCTAGCCCTTGGGATTTTCGATATATAAGATCATGTCATCTGCAAATATAGCTTTGCTTCCTAAGACTTCCTTCTTAGGGGGAAAGCATGCAGTTTTCACTACTAAGTATAATGTTAGTTACTGATTTTTTCTAAATGTGCTCTATAAGGTTGAGGAAGTTCCAGGTTGTTGAATGTTTTTATCATGAAAGGATGTTACATTTTGTCAGATGCTTTTTCTGTACCTGTTGAGATGATCCTGTGCTCTTATGCTGTTTTCTATTAACATAGCATATTACATTGATTTTCGGGTGTTAAACTAACTTTGCATTCCTAAGATAAAACCCACGTAGTCATACTGTATGATTCTTTTTGTATGTTGGATTTGCCAGTATTTCATTATGTGTTTTTGCATTTATATACTAAGGGATATTGGTCTATAGTTTTCTCATGCTGTTTTTGTCTGGTTTGGGTATTGGAATAATACTGGCCTCACTGAATGAGTTGGGAAGTGTTTCCTCCTATCGTTTGGAGTGCATAAAAGATCGACATTTTCCTTTAATTGTTGATAGAATTCTCCAGTGAAGCCATATGGGCCTGTGCTTTCCTTTGTGAGATGTTTTAAAATTACTTTTATTCTCTTTAGTTCACATTGGGGTAATCAAATTTTCTATTTTTTCCAGTCTTTTTTAGTAGTTTGTGTCTTTCTAGAAATTTGTCCATTTCATCTACGTTATTTAATTTGTAGGCATACGGTTTTTCATAGCATTACTTTATAATCATTTTAGTTTTGATAGCCTCTAGTGCTGTTTCAGAATGTTTTGGGGGTGGTTTTGTTTTCCCACAGGTAATTGGTTTTTCATCTTCTATGAAGAGTCACAGTTTTTGTTGGCTGACCCTTCCTTATCATCTACTTATTTTTTTAGGTTGGGTCTTGCTTTGTCACCCAGGCTGGAGTGCAGTGACACCATCATAGCTCACTGTAACCCTTGAACTCTTGGCCTCAAGCAATTTTTGTGCCTCATCCTCCTGATTATGCTCAGCTAATTTTTTTTTTAATAAGGCTGGGACTACAGGCATAAGCCACTGCACCCAGCCCCTTCTTCTAAAAATAGTTTTGCTCTACTTACATGGAATTGGCAGCGGGAGGGTAGGAGATAGTTGCAGGTTTCCACTCTACTTGTCATCCAGACTCAATTCTCACATCTTTCTTAGAAATTAACATCTCTTGTCTAATTTCTTCCTGTGGTTTTGTTTCATTAAAAAATAATCATGTCTTTCTTTTAAAACTGTTTGAATTTTACACAAAACAAATAAGTGTTTAAATATTTGTAATACTGATTTGCATTTGCTTGGTTTCGTTTCAGAAGCCCTACAGGTGGCAACTACTAGCCCAACTGCCAATACTACTGGTACTGCTACTACTTCCTCCACCACTGTGGGTGCAGTTAAGCAAGAACCTCTCCACTCTACTTCATATGCAGTAAACATTCTGGAAAATATAAGCTCTTCAGAATCCTCAAAGCCCACTGAACTTGATGGTCTTCCTTCAGACCAGTTTGCAAAAGGACAGGACACTGTTGCCATAGAAGGTTTTACAGATGAGGAGAATGAAGAAAGTGGAGGAGAAGGCCAATACAGAGAGCGTGATGAATTTGTGGTAAAGATAGAAGACATAGAGACTTTTAAGGTGATGTCAATGTTCACCAGTGTAAAGGTCATAGTTTGGTTGGTGTGCCTGTGATAGCCTTCATTATGACTTCAATAGCTTGATCTACTTTGAATTATAGACAGTTTTATCCTAAGTTATAAGTGTTCGATAAAATGAAACTATTAAGAGAGTAGATTTGAGATATTTTTAAAAAGGAAATCTTTGGAGATAATTTTAACTTTAACTTAGTTTTATGTATTTCTGTACAAATGTAGTCAGTTGCATTTCAATACTACTCATTACGGTAGTTTTAAAATGTTGATTTTTTTTTAAAGGTTCCCAACTCATTATTAGTAGTTTGGAGAAAAACATTATTTATATAATTTAAAAGTTTAAACCAAAATAACAGAGGACTATCACATAAAAGTAGAATTTGATTTAATTTAATTTAATAATTTCAAGTAATAGAAGAACCATGAATAGAACGTAATAATTTTATGTAAGAAAGTTTTAGCTGTGTTTAAAATAACATATCTTGGGGTTTGTTTGCTTGTTTTGCATTTGCCTTTTTATGTATTTTAAAAAATAGAGATGGGGTATTGCTGTATTGGCCAGGCTGGTCTCAAACTCTTGGCCTCACGCAATTCTCCCATCTTTGCCTCCCAAAGTGCTGGAATTACAGGGATGAGCCACTGCATCCAGCCACTTTTGCCTTTTTAGAAAACATTGGAATGGCAGTGAAGAACATAACATTCAAGTATCTGTATTCCTGCCATTCACAATTAACTACTTTTAATATTTTAATGTTTGTTTATGGTCTTTTAATATATGTGTGTGTGTGTATATATATATATATATATACACATATATATATATGGTTATCAAATTGCATACATAACATAGGACAGTGTCATTAGCAGAAAACTTTCCAATAGTTTTAGCTGTACAAATGGGTAATGGGTTACTTTGTGTGTTAGTGAACTCCGTACTTCTGAAATAATTTAAGCAGACACTGAATAACCTAACCAGCTTTTAATAATTATTGCAGAATAGCAGGTGCAGGTTAGACAAAAGGTTGAGCTAGGGTAGACTTTCAGATTCCTTTTATCTCTAAAATTCAAATATCTAAAACATGTTGCTGTGTTTTATAAATATCATTAATTCTGGTTAATACAGGAGGCTTTAAAAACAGGAAAAGAACCTCCAGCTATTTGGAAAGTACAAAAAGCTTTATTACAGAAATTTGTTCCTGAAATTCGTGATGGTCAAAGAGAATTTGCTGCTACAAATAGTGTAAGTAAAATGCATGTTTACATTAGCCTTATTTTGACAGTGGTCCTGGAAAAAACAGAATGATTTAAATTTAGAAGTATTTTATATTCACTATTTTTTATATAACATAGCATATAAAAAAGAACAAAAAAATAGCATGCAATTTGAACTGGAATATTGATGCTCTTTGATAGTCTGATATAAAAATAAACTCATTTGTTAAATATCAGCTATTTAAAATTAAATGACCTTGTACCATTGATTAACTTTTTTTTAATAAAGGAAAGCGGTTAATGTTAGCCTATGAAGGGTTCAGACAGACTCAGAGACTCCCTTATATTGATTATTCTACTAGTCAAATATCCTGATTTACCAGAAGACTGATGGAAGTTACTCTGTCATGCTTATGTAGCTGGAAGTAAGAATCTGCCAAATGAGATTGCTTGTACATATGGGCTTGTGCATATGAAATCAATGAGCCTGGGATCAGTTTTTTAGAGGGTGAAATTAGCCTGGCCAGAGCTGCATTTTGGAAAACTTGAAGGTTGGCTATGCAATAGTCAATCAAACCAACAAAATAGCATTTATATGTAGATTGTACAATCATGTAACTCAAAGTGTTTCTCTCCTCAGTACCTTGGATATTTTGGAGATGCAAAGAGTAAATACAAAAGAATATATGTGAAGTTCATCGAAAATGCAAACAAGAAGGAATATGTCAGGGTGTGTTCTAAAAAGCCAAGAAACAAACCTTCACAAGCTATCAGGTATTTGTTTTCTTAGGTGATACCTTCGTGCATATATGTTGGTGTATTTTTTATTATACCAATGTATAAAGGAGTATATTGATTAAAGAGATTTCTTTTTTATTATACACAAGTCAAAAAATTCAGTGTCTGATGAAATAAGTGATTCTTTTCAGAGTGTGAGATGGGCGCTGTAAGCTCATGGTTACACCTGTGGTATAACCATGAGTTTTCTTTTCCTTGAGTCCTTTTGGTGTCACCCTAGTATAGTGGAAAAAAAAAACGTAGAGGCAAAAAGTTTGAGCCCAGTTTTTTGTGACCTAGAGAAGACAACATTCCTGAAGTCCCCTTTTTCATCTATAAAATTAAAATAATAATGAAGTGAATTAAATTTAAAATAATTTTTGAGAAAAAAATACTATGAGAACTCTACATTACTGGACAAGTGTACACAGTAGAATTGTTATTATATGTTAATGTGACTCTGGGTTGTCTGGAGCATGAATCTGGAAGGTAACAGACTTAACCCTGTGGTCTGTATGAGAAAGCAGGTATGATCGTAGATATTCTTAATCTAGTGCCAAGCAGGTGCAGTTCCATTAACATTTCCATCTACTGGAAGCAGCTCACCTTATTTTTATGATGGAATTTTATCCACTCAAATCTTCAGACCTGGCAGAGAGCAAGTCTTTTTTATTTGAGACAGGGTCTCGCTCTGTCACTAAGGCTGTAGTATAGTGGTGTGATCACAGCACTATAGCCTCGACCTCCCAGGCTAGCAGATGATCCTCCTGCTTCCACCTCCCAGGTAGCTGGGACTACAAGTGTGCACCACTGTGCCCAGCTAATTTTTATAGGGATGGGATTTTACCATGTTGCCCAGGCTGGTCTTGAACTCTTGAGCTCAAGTGATTTGCCCGCCTTGGTCTCCCAAAGTGCTGGGATTACAGGCTTGAGCCACCATACTCAGCTGGCATAGAGCAAATCTTAAGGGCCTGCCTCTAGGACAGACGCATTTGGGATTTTTTTTTTTTTTTGAGACAGTTTGACTCTATTGCCCAGGCTGGAGTGCAGTGGCTTGCTGCAGCTTCCACCTCCCAAATTCAAGCAATTCTCCTGCCTTAGCCTCCTGAGTAGCTGGGACTATAGGCTCATGCCACCAAGCTTGGCTAATTTTTGTATTTTTAGTAGAGGTGGGGTTTCACTATGTTGGCCAGGCTGGTCTCAAACTTCTGAGCAGCTGATCCGCCCACCTTGGCCTCCCAAAGTGCTAGGATTACAGGCTTGAACCACTGTGCCTGGCCACATTTGGGTTTCTACATCAAAACCTGACACCACCAGAGCCTGTGAAGTTTCTTAGGGTCAGAGCTAGATGTGGTAGTTATAGGATATCATTTATTACCTTCCTAAGCCCATTGGTCAGCTGTTGTACAGCCTCATAGTCTCTGGGAAATAAATCCTTAAATCAAGGAGGGGAATGGAGAAGTAGAAATAAGGAACCTTAATAACTGAATATTGAATGCTATTGACAAAAAACAATGTATTTTAAGAAAATTTTATGGGAATCACTATTGAGATGTATAACACTTGGGCTGTATATTTTGGAGGTATTGGTGAGGATAATTAGATAAACTTTTTCTGTGATTCTCTTCTGTTTTTGTATTTCATTTTAGTAACAAGATTTCAGTGTGTTAACGAAGTTTGTTTATAACATTGCAGAACTGTTCAAGCTAAGCCAAGTAGTGGCAGTAAAACTTCTGATCCTCCAACATCAAAAACTACAACTACAAAAGCCCCTTCCATGAAACCCAAAGTTAAACAGCTAAAAGTAAAGGCTGAGCCACCACCAAAGAAACGTAAAAAATGGAAAGAAGAATTTTCATCATCCCAATCTGACTCATCTCCTGAGATCCATACTAGTAGTAGTGATGATGAGGGTGAGTTTTCCATGAAATGACTACCCTGATAACTTTAGATTGTCTACATGAGTGGCGAGGAGCAGTGATGCTGACGATTCAATATGTATTTATTTTTCAGGGAATTTATCTACCTAATAAATTCTGCTTAGATTTTTATGAAAGTAATTCGCATTCCCTGAACATACCATCTGAAGCACAATTGGCCCACACATGCAGCCTTGTAAATAGAAAAGGCAGAACTCACCTAGGTAATGCCAGTTATCTCAACTCTTTGAATGAAATGGAGGTTAGATCAGATGATTACTAAGAATCATCTAGTTCTAAATTTTTTTTTTGAGACAAGGTCTCTCTGTCACTCAGGCTGAAGTGCAGTGGCATAATCCTAGCTCACTGCAGCCTCAAACTCCTGGGCTCAAGCAATTTTCCTAGCTCAGCCTCCAAAAAGCTGAGACTATAGGTGTGTACCACTATGCCCAGCTAATTTTTTTTTAAGAGGTGGGTTCTTGCTTTGTTGCCCAGGATGGGCTCAAGCAGTCTTCTTGCATTAGCCTACCAAAGTGCTGTGATTAGGGGCACAAGCTACTGCACCCAGCCTAGTTCTAAACATTTGAGTCTAAGTTTATGCAAGAAGAAAAGAATAAGCCTAGGAAAGAGGAGCTCAAACTATAATATAGTAATAAATTTAATAATGTATACAACTATATTATTTAATATATAAAGTACATACTACTATGTATCTGCCACTAACTAACCATGTACCTATGACTAAGGTAGGCTATCCTCTCTTACTTTTCTTTTTTTATAAAATGTGAAGGTTGAAATCTGTTATCAAACTTATTGACCTTAGAACCATTTTACATTCTTAAAAATTATTGAAGATCTAAAAAGCATTTATGTAGGTATATCTATTGTTATTTACTATATTAGAAGTTAAAACTGAGATAGTTATAAAACATAAGAATGTACCAGCACACAAAGCATGGTGTGTGGTATATGTAAGAAATTTCGGTGAAGAGACGACGACTGAGTGGTTGTAGTCGCGTTGCCAACCTCAAGCAGCAGTCGGCTTCTCCACGTAGAACCTGGAAGTAGAAGACTCAGAATCGAATGTCTTCTTCCTACCCCTCCTGGTTACAAAACACTTGAAATATATGTTAGTGGAACTTTGCTTGAGTGAGTTTTTTTGATCTTCAGCTCCATTTTCAGCTTTGTGAGAAACCTTATCATCAAACACAGTGGCCAGCAATGTTACCAACAAGACAGATCCTCACTCCATGAACTCCCGTGTGTTCATTGGGAATCTCAACACTCTTGTGATCAAGAAATCTGATGTGGAGGCAATCTTTTCCAAGAATGGCAAAACTGTGGGCTGCTCTGTTCATAAGGGCTTTGCCTTCGTTCAGTATGTTAATGAGAGAAATGCCCAGGCTGCTGCAGCAGGAGAGGATGGCAGAATAATTGCTGGCCAGGTTTTAGGTATTAACCTGGCTGCAGAGCCAAAAGTGAACTGAGGAAAAGCAGGTGTGAAACAATCTGCAGTGGAGATGTATGGGTCAGTAACAGAACACGCTTCTCCATCCCTCTACTCAGCTCCTCTTTTGACTTGGACTATGACTTTCAATGGGATTATTATGGTAAGATGTACAGTTACCCAGCACGTGTACCTCCTTCTCCTCCTATTGCTCAGGATGTAGTGCCCTCGAAACATCAGCATATATCACGAAACACCTCACAAGGGGGCAAAAGTGACTTCAATTCCAAGAGTGGACAGCAGGGATCTTCCAAGTATGGAAAGTTGAAAGGAGATGACCTTCAGGCCATTAAAAAGGAGTTGACCCAGATAAAACAAAAAGTGGATTCTCTCCTGGAAAACCTGAAAAAAATGGAAAAGGAACAGAGCAAACAAGCAGTAGAGATGAAGAATGGTAAGTCAGAAGAGGAGCCGAGCAGCAGCTCTGTGAAGAAAGATGAGACTAATGTGAAGATGGAGTCTGAGGCAGGTGCAGATGACTCTGCTGAGGAGGGGGACCTACTGGATGATGATGATGATAATGAAGATGGGGGGTGACCAGCTGGAGTTGATCAAGGATGATGAAGAAGAGACTGAGGAAGGAGAGGATGACAGAGACAGCGCCAATGGCGAGGATGACCCTTAAGCACATAGTGGGAGTTTAGAAATCTTATCCCCTTATCCTGTGTCTAAGATCAAATTTTTCACCAGATCCTCACCTCTAGTATCTTCAGCATATGCTCACTGCTCTCTCCATCCTTGTCCTTCCCATCTACATTAATTCATATTTCCCCGTGCCTAGTCTCATTTTCACTTCCTTGGACACTCCTAGTAGTTTTGTTAAGTCTTACCCTGTAATTTTTGGTTTTAATTTTGATACCTCTTATGACTTAACAATAAAAAGGATGTATTGTTTTTATCAACTGTCTCTAAAATAATCTCTTGTTATGTAGGGAGTATAGTTCATTTCCTTCATACATAAGTTCAGTAGTTGCTTCCCTAACTGCAAAGGCAATCTTATTTAGTTGAGTAGCTCCTGAAAGCAGCTTTGAGTTAGAAATATGTGTGTTATACCCCAACATTAGTGTGCTGTATGGGGCAGTTCAACACAAATGTAACCATGTATTTTTGTGAATGAACGTTGGCATGTCAAATGCATCCTGTAGAAAAATAATTAGTGTTACAGTCTTGAAGATTTATTTTCTAAAGTTGATACTGTGGGTTATTTTTGTGAACAGTCTGATATTTGGGACCTTTTTTTCTCAAAATAAACAAGTCCTTATTAAACCAGGAATTTGGAGGAAAAATAAAGAAGAAATTTTAAGTTGTTCAGTAGTCTGTACAGAGGTTGCCAAATGGCTTGCAAACTGAATCTGACTCTCTGCCTGTTTTTATAGTTTTATTGGAACACAGCCACATTGGTTCATTTGCATATTTCCATACAGTTGCTTCCCCACTACAGTAGCAGATTTGAGTAGTTCAACAGAGACCATATGACAAGCAAAACCTAAAATATTTACCTATAGCCCTAAAAGGTTGCTGGCCCCTATTTTTCTAGAACATAAAGCTGACTATAAGAAAAGAGGAAGGGATGATGAAAGACCTTGTATGCCACAATAAAGCTAAAAAGCTTGGGATCCTATAAGCAAATGAGAGGGATTTGGTGAAATTTGAATTTGAATTACAAGACATAATCCAGGCATAAACTGAGTCTGAACCTAAGTAGTGGCAGCAGGGATGGAGATGAGGGGACAGTGTTCAGAAATTCAGGATGTAATCTTGGCAGAACTTGAATGAATTAGTTGTTGGGGCTGTGGTTGAAGTTGATGTCCAAGATGGTTTCTTTTTTTTTTTCCCGAGGCACAGTTTTGCTCTTGTTGCCCAGACTGGAGTACAATGGCACAATCCTGGCTCACCACAACCTCACCTCCCGGGTTCAAGCAATTCTCCTGTCTCAGTCTCCCGAGTAGCTGGGATTAAAGGCATGTGCCACCACACCCAGCTAATTTTTTATTTTTAGTAGAGACAGGATTTCTCCATGTTGCTCAAGCTGGTCTTGAACTATTAACTTAAGGTGATCTGCCTGCCTTGGCCTCCCAAAGTACTGGGATTACAGGCGTGAGCCCCCCGTGCCCAACCAATATGGTTTCTAACATTGCAAGTATCATTGCTTGAGAGATTATCTTAGAAATTATCTGATTAGAAATTATCTGAAAGAAATTATTCAGTGCTGAAGTCTACTTTAAAGTTACTGTTTTTATTTTTTATTTTTTAAATTTTTTGAGTTAAGGTCTTACTCTGTTGCCTAGGCTGGACTGCAGTGAGGTGCAGTTATGACTCACTGTAGCCTCAACGTCCCAGGCTGAAGTGATCCTCCCACCTCATCCTCTCTAGTAGCTGGGACTACAGGTGGGCACCACCACAGCCAGCTAATTTTGTTGTTGTTGGTATTTTTTTGTATTTTTTTTTTTTTGGAGACGGAGTTTTGCTCTTGTTACCCAGGCTGGAGTGCAATGGCGCAATCTCGGCTCACCGCAAACTCCGCCTCCCGGGTTCAGGCAATTCTCCTGCCTCAGCCTCATGAGTAGCTGGGATTACAGGCACACACCACCATGACGGGGTTTCACCATGTTGACCAGGATGGTCTCGGTCTCTTGACCTCGTGATCCACCCGCCTCGGCCTCCCAAAGTGCTAGGATTACAGGTGTGAGCCACTGCGCCCGGCCTCAACCAGCTAATTTTTAAATGTTTATCTTTGTAGACACAGGGTCTCACTGTGTTACCCAGGCTGGTCTCAAACTCCTGGGCTCAAGCAATCCTCCCACTTTGGACTTCCAAAGTACTGGTATTATAGGCATGAGCCACTGTGCCCAGTCTAAATGTATTATTTTTTAATGTTATTTGTGGGCAAGTGCAGTGGTACACACCTATACTCCCAGCTACTTGGGAGGCTCAGGAGGAAGGATTGCTTGATCCCAGGAGTTCAACACCAACCTAGACAACACAGCGAGACCCTGTCTCTTTAAAAAATAAATAAATAAACAAAGCTATTTGTGAATGGTTGTTTAGAAATATTTACATCAGGCTGGGCACAGTGGCTCATGCCTGTAATCCCAGCACTTTGGGAAGACAAGGCAGGTGGATTACCTGACGTCAGGAGTTTGAGACCAGCCTGGCCAACACAGTGAAACCCCGTCTTGACTGAAAATACAAAAAAATAGCCAGGTATGGTGGCAAGCGCCTGTAATCCCAGCTACTCAGGAGGCTGAGGTAGGAGAATTGCTTGAACCCAGGTGGCAAAAGTTGAAAAAAATAAATACATACATCACAATATATAAGGAAATTCAGTGCCTCTAATATGTATAGAAGGCATTATTCATAATTTTTGCAGTTAGCAGTCATGCCTACTGCTTAGAATAAAAATGTTTGGGTTCTGAATTTGCTCTCGATAATAGTTTCATCAAATGACAAGATAAAATTTTTTTCCATTGGTAATTTGAGTGACCAC